TTTGTTTTGTTTTGTTTTGTTTTGTTTTGTTTTGTTTTGTTTTGTTTGAAACAAAAGTCATATTTTGTTGCATCAGCATTCAACTTCCTTTGTCACCCAGAGCTAGCTTCAAATTCAGCCTTCCTGCCTCACCTTCCCAAGTGCTGAGATGACAAGAATGTGCCACCACCATGCCAACAGAGCTTCCAGACTTGTTTGGCAAGAGGGATCTGTGTTTGCTGCTAGCTTGGGCCAAAGACCTGAGAGACCCCAGGTCTAGACAGCTGCATGACTCTGTATTAGAGAGACCTAGAGCCAGTGTGGCCCTACTTCCAATAATCCAGACCCATAGTGTCCACAGGATCACTTGTCTCGAAAGCCTGAAGGCCCTGAGTTCAATCTCCAGAATCCTCAAACTACAAAAGAGCATGTGTCCTCATGGACTTACCAGGGGTCTTTCTTTGGCATCCCCAGCATTGGGTTAAATGTTTCATCCTCATTCCCTCTCATGATATCTGTAGAGGCAAGTGCAGAGGGAAAAGCCATGGCACTCCCAGAAGGTGAAGTGATGCACAGACAGAGCCAGTACCCCAGCCAGCCATGTGTGGCTCACTACTCTATGCATTTCTGTGGACCTTTGGGGTGGATTTCTGTGGCTGGGCTAAAGACTTAACATACTGTTACCCTACAGATGCTCCCATCCTGAATAGAAGAAGTGTAGCAGGAGCCCTGGAGCCGTGGCAGCCCTAATGGCAGCATTGTGTGGGAATGGCCTATTGGCAGCTCAATAGTAAAACACTAACAGCTTTCTTTGTGAAGGGAAGGGGCCTTTGATGAGCAAAGCCCTCAATTTACATTTGATTCCAACAGATTCTAATGGTGTGTCAAGGAAGGAACTCTTTTGTTCCATTAGCCCTGAATCCCAGAAACCCAAGCTTCTCTGGAATACAGTCTGTCACAGGGAGAAGAAGTAAATGGGAACCCTGTGCCCATTTACTCAAGGTGACAGAGACAATGTGACAGTTGTCTTGTACAAAAATAAAAACTGGGGCCCTACAATGTTGTTTTGGAGTTTATTTTTTTAAAAGAAATGAAAAAGTGTCAATATTAGACTTTTTTAATGAAAGAAAACAGACCTGAGAGTATCATCTAGAGAAAATATCAAGTGTCAAAAGCACAAACGTCATTTCCTCCTTACAGTGAAGACCCTAGCCCAGGACCATGGAGATGCTCCACAGGTAAAAGCACTTGTCTCGAAAGCTTGAAGGCCTGAGTTCAATCCCTAGAACCCTCAAACTACAAAAGAGCATGTGTCCTCATTTCTGGGTTATCAGTTTTATCTTGTGGCAAAGAACCTAGTTTTGGCATTACATAAATCATAAATAGCAGCAGTAAGGAGAAACTGAGTCCTGAATTTGTTCTCTGAAGTTCACATGCATGCTGCGGCATACATGCACTCACATTCACATACATATCATACACATATGATAATACAATTCAGACAATCCTGAGAGACACTGATGCCCAGAATGGGAAACCCCCCACCCCACCCCGGGGAACAGCCTATTGCAAACAATGACAGATGCCCTGGTTCCTTGCCCATCCCGTTCTGCCACAGATGGAGAGACCAGAGTTGGTAGACAGAATCTCGCCTACCATGGGCTGCCCTACTTGTACTAAACAGGCACGTGTCACCATGCCCAGCTGCCAACATCCTCAAAACCCCGAGATCAGCAGGAGACTCTGGAAGTCTGAGTTACCATTCTTGAACACTGTGGGGGGAGGTTGAGACAGGGTTTCTCTATGTAACAGTCCTGGCTGTCCTAGAACCTAGGACTCGATGTGTAGACCAGTCTGGCCTCTAACTCACAGAGATCTTCCTGCCTCTGCCTCTAGAGTGCTGGGATTGAAGGTGTGCATCACCACCACCCAGTGTGAACGTTGAACACATTTTAGACACAGGGAAACTGAGTTCTGGGCAGTGCCACTATGGCTCTCCAGCCTTTAATCTCAGCATTGCTTATGGAAATGGCTTAGTGGCAGCTCAATAGTAAAACACTAACATCTGTAGTGTTTGGGAGCAGTAACCTATCTAACTTCATAATTCACTTGTGAAATCTCTTAACTCAAGAATGAATATAAGTGTAGCACTGGACTCTGTTCTTACTGCTGCTATTTATGATTTATGTAATGCCAAAACTAGGTTCTTTGCCACAAGATAAAACTAATAACCCAGAAATGAGGACACATGCTCTTTTGTAGTTTTATGTGACCTTTGCTCCCCATAGGTGCACTCACCTACTGGGCTCGAGAACAGCTTCTCATGTCTGGACAGGCTCATGAGGTTGGTTGGCCTCGGTGGGCGTCCTAAGAGTTAAGAGTTCATTCCTAGCCTCAGGTTCATCAGGATGCTCCACCACTGCTCCTCTCCCCGGGCGCTCCAAGGAGCTGCAGCATAGGCTGCAGTGTAACTGCCCTCCCCTGTGGGCATGTCCAATGAAATCCTCTGTAATCACTCCGGGATCAAAAACAAGAATCTCCTTCAGCCAGATCTCAACAAGGGAGATATGTAGCAGTTAAGTTTAAAGTAGTTTTCCTTCAGAAAAGGGTATTGGGCTTCAGGGAAACACTGAGACTCAGCTCTGGGGGTGAGAAAATGCAGTCTAAGATGTGGGGAGCCAAAGTTGGGGTTCCCTGACCCCTGGACATCTAGTTGCTGCTATAGTGCTTCACAGAGGAGTCAGGAATGAAGGATTGGGGGTTCCAAGGCCTGAGACAAGGCCAGGACCGTTGGGGGGCCTGTGGCCTGAGGACGGCAAGCCCGGGTTACTTCATCTGCAAAAGTAGCAGAGGTTATCTGGGGTGCAGATGAGCCTTCTACGGAAGATTTAGGCAGCGACTCTGTAAGTGAAGGCCTTCTCTATGCTCCCCCACAGCAGTTTTGATGGTAGAGATAGTCCTTGGTTCCATACTGTTTATTGGATGTTCATCATGGAAAATGGATACATACCAACATCTCAGGGTGGACCAGGGTATTTAATCTCAGGATTAAATACCTTTTGCAGGGAGGAATGTCAGGGAAGGGGAGCTTATTAACTAAACCCTCAGGACCTCTAGGTACCTCATTAGCATGGAGAACTGTTTTGGGCTACATGACTTAAGTGGGGAACTTACCGCAAGTTCCAGGCCTGGAATCTGGCCAGGAGCAAGGAGGCACCTACTGTCTCAGGTGTGTATACCCAAGTTTCTGGGGTCTCAGACTCGCTCTATCTTGCCAAGTTTCCTGGCATGGTCCATTGTCCCACAGGGATCCATTACTGGAAAGGAAAGCCATAGCCCAAGATGGTCTTTAAGAAGGAAATGCAACTTCTGAGTCAGTGAACTAACCCAGTGATGAAAAAGTGTCACTACCTGGATTGTACAAGAGCAAAACTATTGTTTATGGCAGGCAAGTAAATCTCCAAAGTCACAGAACCAGCAAACAGGAAACTAGGATCCAAGCTTACATAAAAGCTTGTGTAAAGCCTACACTCAAGCCGTGCCCCTGAGCCAATGAGAGTTCAAGTGGGAACTGTGGGTTCTGATCGTGAAACTGGCCCTAAAGTTGGTTGTGTTTGTACGTGTTCTGGTGTCTGTGTACATGTGCCTGTGTGAGTGTGTTGGAAACTGAACCCAAGAGGCCTCATGCTTGCTAGGCAAGCCCTCTACCAATGATCTATATTTCTGTCTTTCTTTTTACTTTTGATTTTGATGCAGAGTCTTCCTAAGATGCCCAGACCAATCTTGGGCTTGCCCTGTAGGTTAGGCAATCATTGAAATTTCAGTCTACTTCCCCAGCCTCCCAAGTAGGTGGGATGACAGGTCATGACCACTATGCCCATCAGGAATGACATTTTTAAAGCCAGACCTCTATTGAATAGTGTAGAAAATATAGAAGAAGAACAAGAGGAAGAGGAGGAAGAGGAGGAGGAGGGGGAAGAAGAGGAAGAGGAGGAGGGAGAAAATTCAAGCTGAGTGTGATGGGGCCTCAATCACACAGCTCCTTGAGTCAGACGAACACTGCTTTCTTCTCCCTCCCTTTCTACCCCATCACATCTCACAGCATTGCTCAAGCCAGAGTATACCTCTTCCAATCAACATGAGCAACCTCCTGGTGGTTCCCAACTCCTAGGTCACCATGTTAATACCAAATCAGCTAAGCACATTCTAGGCCAGAATTCCTGGGCCTAAATGATCTTCCTGTCACCCTCCAGAGTAGCCATGACCTCAGATGTACACACTTGCACTCACCTCACTCTTTAGTAAAGAGAAAGAGAGAGCTCCACAAGAAGCAATGGTGTGGTGACAGAAGGTAAAGGCCATCGCTACGTGCCGGGTTCAAAGCCGGACTCACCTGGTCATCCCTATGTGATGTCAGCTTTGACTGAATGAGTCTCTTGTCTCAGACATGCTGGCACAACCAATTTCTCCCCTTTCTTTCTCCTACACTGAACTTCCCGTTAGTTCTGAGGGTTTCTATGATTTACAGGTTACTACTCTTGTTCCAGTCAACTCATCTAGAGCCCAGAGACATCTAGTGTTCAACGTGACTTCTTCAGCCCACTTTGTTTTCATTTGATGTATTTTTAAAAATCAGTAGTTCAATATACAGCATGTGGGACCGTGTTACCAGACAGACATATGAACTAGGACAGTTGAGTGAGCTCAGGTCTCAGGAGTCTCAAAGATCTGGTGGCAGAAAGAACCACTCCTACCTGCTCTGGAACACATAGCCATGACACCCCACTAAAAACCATAGGCACTGAGTCACACAGCACAACAACACCTGCAGTTCTTTTGCATGCTAATGAGGTACCTAGACAGCCTTGAGCTTTGAGCCAGTGAGTGCCCCTTCCTGAGTATTCCTTCCCACAAGAGGTACATAATCCCTCGTTCACTCTAAATAAAATATATGCATTCACATCCATCATCAATTAACCAAAATGAACAAACAAGGATTGTCTCAGAGAGCTGCTTCATTCAGAATCAAGGTGGGGAAGGCCTTGACTAAGGTGAGCCTAAGACTCCCGAGTAAGATCGTCTCCCCTGCAACCCCTCTGGCACACTCAGACCTCACTCATACTGGGCTCTGCCTCGCCCTCTCCACCTGGCGTGCCTCCAGATGCTGGAGGTGAAGGTAAAACCTTGGACCCCCCTTCCTGACTCTTGGCAGTACAACAGTGACATCCAGGTACCCAAAGAGGAAACCACAAACCACAGCATCCCTCCTAAACTTCCACTGTTTCTCCTTCTGGTCTGGCAAAGGAAGACACAGGCCGTGGACCCCTATTTCTGATTTTGCCCTGCCTCCTTCCTGCACCCCCACCCACCTACCCTCAGAGCAGCAGGTTGCAGTACAACAATCTAACTGGTTCAAAAGCCCAAATATGCAAAAAGGCATAATAAAAATGCATTAATAAGCACTATCCCCTCTTACACCTTAACCCACACACCGCTACGATTTCATAGGCAGTTTCATCAGTTTCTTATGACTTTTCATAAGAGTCTGTCTTCTTACGAGTCTGTCTTCAATCTAGCTTTCTACTTCTAGTTTACCAAAGGGCTATCTGTCTAAAGCAGACTTCATACCTGAAGACTGTCTCTGACTGACTGACAGTTGCTGAGGCTCTGGGTCCCTCCAGTGATGGTAGGGCATCATCTTTCTGTGATTTGACTACACCTTAAAGGACTTAATGAGAGCCTTCTTTTCTACTCTCTCTCTCTTTCTCTCTCTCTCTCTCTCTCTCTCTCTCTCTCTCTCTCTCTCTTTCTCTTGCTCACTCTCTTTTTTATAGTAAGCATAAAATTTTGATGAATTAAGATCATACATAGCACACCACCACCATCAGGCTCTAGAACTGTTTTCACTTCCCAATCAGAAACTGTGCCCGTTAAACAATAACTCCATCCTCTCAGCTCCTAGCAACCCCCATTCTTTTTGTTTGTTTGTTTGTTTGTTTGTTTGTTTGTTTTTCGAGACAGGGTTTCTCTGTGTAGCCCTGGCTGTCCTGGAACTCACTCTGTAGACCAGGCTGGCCTCGGACTCAGAAATCCGCCTGCCTCTGCCTCCCAAGTGCTGGGATTAAAGGGGTGCGCCACCACTGCCTGGCACAACCCCCATTCTATTTTCTGTCTATCTTTATGAATTTTACCGCTCTTGGTGTCTGCCTCATCTTAATGGAATGATGGACTAGTGACCTTTTGTGACTAGCTTATGTCAACTACCATGATGGTTTCAAGGTTCATCAATGTAGCATATGACAGAAATTCTTCCTCTTTTTAAGGTGAATAATATGCCATTGTATATTCATTCCTGCTATTCATTTGCTGATGGACAGTCAGGTACTTTTCACTGGTTATTGTTAGTAAAATTGTAAAATTGCTGGGTGCATGAGCATACATTATCTGTTGAAGTTCCTGCTTTTAGTTCTCTTGGAGATATATATATATATATGCATACACACACTTCTGGATCATATAGTAATTCTACATTTAAATGTTGTGTCTGTGGGGTAGCATACTGGAGATTAAACCAGTTGGCTATTGATTTTTTGTTTGTTTGAGACAAAAATAAAATAAAATAAAATTTTACTCATAGCTCTGACTAGCCCGGAACTCACTATGTAGGTCTGCTGCCCCTGAACTTGTAACAAACTTGTTTCTGCTTCCCAAGTGCTGGGATTAAAGGAATCCACAGATAACATCAGAGCACCTGTGGCCCAATCATCTCCCAAAGTCCCCACCCCTGAACACTGCTGCACAGGGAACACCAAGCTTTTGGAGGACATTTCAGATTCGAACCACGACACATTTCCACAGCAGCTGCGCCATTTTCCACCACCCACCCCAATGCTCTACAAGGCTTCTATGAAACCACTGATTATATAAGTATTTTCCTGATTAGAGTACACGTTCACGATAGATCATTGAGAAAACTCAAAAAAGCAAAATGGCGAAATTGAAATTCTCTTTATTCTAATTACGGAGCCATGACCTGAATTCATATTACTCCCGGGAGAAAGAGAAAAGCCAGTTTTTCTCGGACAATTCCATCATTGTGTTTGATAGCATGGTCCAAGAATAGTGCTGGCGCTTGCCCTGCCTGGACCTTGTCCTCGGGTCCCATCTCCTGGCTGTCCCCACGCCCCTATCTTATGAAAAGGTCACGCAGTTAACCTGGTGTCTGAATCATATTTGCTGGTTGCTTTCGGGAGCGTCACGGGTATTGTGTGGAGTTGTCACATTCTTGAGCAGACAGTTTCCGCATTTTAAAAGACACCCCCAACGTTTGATAGGAAAGCATAAAACGTTTGAGGAAATGAGCTCTACAAACTCATCACCCACATCAGAACTGAGCTGTCACTTGGCCCAGAGTGCTCCTGCGAAAATGAGTCCTGTTACTAAGAGCTGAACAAGCAAAGGGTGGGAAAGTCCCGCCTTCCTTCGCGTCTCCAAGTACCCATTGGCTGACTCTGCGGCCGGATCTTTATTCTCATTGGTTATTTTGGATGTCGCTCCACGCTGACTTTCCAGAGCCAGCCACTGAGAGTCACGGAGTTGAGGATTTTAAAAATGCGGTGGGCGGGGCGATAATTTTTTGAACTGATGGCGGCGAAGATCCGGCGTTCCTGACGCGCACCCTCGGTTTGCTTTCGCGTTCGGTTTTGGCCGCAGGACCCAGAAGGCTTAGGGGAGGCAGCGGAACCTGGACTCTCGCGGTCAGCCATGGGCCCGCGTCGCAAGACGAGAACTCCGACGAGGCGGCCCTCCAGTCCGGCGCCCGGACCCTCGCGGCCATCCGTGAGCCCGCGTCGCGAGCCGAGAACTCCGACGAGGCGGCCCTCCAGCCCGGCGCCGGGACCCTCGCGACGGAGCTCCGGTGTAGGTAAGCGGACCTGTCCTGCACCTCCGAGGCCGGAGCCGTGACCCTGCGGGGCGGGGCAGTAAAGGTGACATCTGCCCCTGGTCACGGCTTGCCGCTAACCACGCGTGGGGTTACTGGTTTCTTTCCTGGCCATTTTACAGCCGGTGAGAAAAACGAAACGCAGACAAGACAGGTAGCTTCAGCAGAAACACAACTCACTTTGACGGACACGGGGTCTTTTTTGTTTTTTTAGGATTTATTTAATGTTTTGTGTGTGTTTGAGTGTGTGCTACATGTGCGAAGGTGCTGGCGACGACCAGAAGAGGGCGTCGGAACGCTGGAGTTACAGGCAGTTGTGAGCTGCCTGGTAACAGTGCTGGGAACAGAACTTGGGCCCCCTGGAAGAGCAGCCTGCGCTATTAACAGCTGAGCCAGCTTTCCAACCCCTACTTTTTATTATTTATTTGCAGCGCTAGACATAGAACACAGGACTCCGTGCTTGTTTGGCAAGGTCTCTACTATAGAACTACATCCCCAACTCCCTGTCCCCACCCACACCCCCTTTATTTTTGAGACGGGAACTCAGTATGTATGTATCACTGTGTATGTAGCTTTGGCTTGCTGACCTGAAACATACTATGTAGACTAGGCTAGCCTCGAGCTCAGAGATCTCTGCCTGTGTTGGGGATGGTCTTATGCACTGTGTATTCAGAAACTCATTTCTGTGTCCAGAGATCTGGTTGCAGTCCGGACACTGCCTCAGTGTGATGTAAAAATTGTTTTCCATGATCTCTGATTGGTTAATAAGGAGCTGATCAGCCAATTGGCTGGGCAGAAGAAATTAGAGTGGGACTTCTGTTCCCAATCAGAGGGTCCCAAGAGACCAAGAAAGAAGAGATGGAGAGACCGTGTAGTTGGAGCAGAATTCACCATGAGATCTCAATAAGAGAGCAGCAGCCTTGAGGACCCACATGGACCAGAGTGAGCCAGGGCAAGATCAGATGACAAATAATAGGACATATGGCCTGGTAATAGCAGCCTAGCTGGATTAGAATGGCTCAAAACCTGCCCAGCATAATGCCAGCAACTTGTTAATAAAAAATACTAGGTCTTTGTGTCTTTATTTGGGAGCAAAAGAGGGGTAAGAGGCCTTAGAATTAGATTTACATGCCTGCTTCTGCTTCTCCAGTGCTTGGATTAAAGGCATGCACCACTGCATTCTATTTCTCACTGAGGTATGGCGAGGCCCTAAGGGAATAGTGTGGCTGGTCATGTTTGTACCACTGCCAGAGCTGATGTGTTCTGTATGATGTTCACTGTTGGTTTCCAGTGTGGAAGCAACTTTTCATTACTCTTATCTTAGGGAACCTTTACCTCAGATGGGCTCACACACTTCTTGGCTCTCCTTCTGCCCTTGTCTGGTAAACTTCCTTTTCCAGCTATTTGGTGCTTTTTTTTTCCCCCTCTTTCACTTCCATCACTCAGCCTTCCCACTCACAGGCCTTGCCTAGGTGTCCCCTTCCTTTCCCAGGTCAACCCTTCTTTTATGTGATGGGCCCTTGGACACATCTTCCTTTGCTGTAAGAGACTTGGTGTTGTTCTTGCTCCCTTGCTACATAACAGCTCACAGCCATTTGTAACTCCCATTCCAGGGATCGTTCTGGCCTCTGCAGGCACTGCATACATAGACATACATGTCTATGTCTAGGCAAAACAGATACACATAAAAGAAAATAAAGCCATTTTTGGTGTGACAGTGACTTCCATGTATCCCAGACTAACATTGCGCTCAAGACCCCCTGTCTCTGCATCCCAGGAGCTGGCATAGTAGGTGAGGGCCCATGGGCCTGGCTGGAAAGAGCCTTAGTATGAAGTCCTGCTTGAAATTTTCTGGCTCCCAGCTGCTTAAGTTGACTTTTGAGACCCGGCTTCGTTGTGTTTGAATCCAGTTCTTTCCATGTCATCTCTGATCAGTTCCCCTTCATAAACACCTGTTCTTGCATCATGAATCTTAGAGCTCGCTTCCTCTTATATTTCTCAAAATCTTTCTTTTCTGGGAGAGAATAAGGTCTCACCATGTAGGCCAGTCTAGCCTCCTACCTCTGCCTCTCAGGTGATAGATTGCAATCACTCAGGATGGCACCCAGTTCTCTGCTCTATTCAAACTCCTTGGGTATAGTTTATTTTGATTCTTTATTTTGGCTCCTTTTTCTTCTGGTGTTAGTCACGTTCTTGGGTGGCCTCTCATTGTGTTGTCTTTATTTTCCGTCAGTGTGTACCTGTTAACAACTTCCCCCAGAGCTGCCTCCTCCCGCAAGTGGTGGGGAGGAGGCAGCTATCTGTAGTTTGTCTCTTAGTTATGGCCCATCATAGTTAGCTTCAGTTGACAGCCCTGATACAAGCGCAGTCACCCAGGAAAGGGGAACTTCAGCTGACCTATGCCATGTCTGAAGCCTTTTTAAACATTTCTTATTGATGTAGGAGGTCCCAGCCCTCTGTGGGTGGTGCTATCACCTCCTATCTGAGTAGGTGGGCTTGAACTATGCAAGCTAGGGAAGCAGGTCAGTAAGCAGCACTCCTCCAAGGTCTCTGCCTCCAGATCCCTGCCTTGAGCTCCTGATGATGGACTGTGACACATAAGCCGGACCAACCCTTTCCCTCCCAAGTCGGTCTTGGAGGTGGTGTTTATCACAGCAACAGCAACCAAAGTAGAGCACGGTCCTCCCTCTCTGTCATCAACGTCTCCAGTCTCCTAGACACTGCTCTGTGTCCTTGGTTCACAATCCTAGCCTCACCCATGATTAAGTCTTCACCCGCCTGGCACAGGCCGCCCCTGCACTGACCCCGTCTCCCTTCCATTTCCCTTGACTGGACCTTAAATAACCTAGCTAAAGCTAAGTGTTCCCGTTTTGCAGTACTAGGGATTGAACCCAGGGCCTTATCTGTACAAGGCAAGTGCTCCTCCAGCCAGTTCCTATGGGTGTGCTTTTGTTTTGTTTTAGCCAAGCTGTTCAGTTAATCAGGCATATTCATTTTAATCCATCAATTGTTTTTATTTATTGACGTTTTTTACTTATTTAATTTTCATCATGACCAATTTATTGTATTTAATGTCTTGTTTATCTTAATAACACTTGAGTTGAATTTAACTCAGCTATCATTTTGTTTTTAAGATTTATTTTTACTTAGAGGGCCTGGAGATTGGCTTAATAGTTAGGAGCACTGGCTGCTCTTCCAGAGGACTAGGTTTTGATTCCCAGCACCACATTGTGGCTTATAACCGTCAGTAAAGTGCCAGAGGACCTGCCTGCCTCTTCTGACTTCTGCAGGTACCAGGCATACACATGGGGCACAGACATACATGCAGGCAAAACACCTACTTATTTATGTGTGTGTGTTTTACCTGCATGTATGTGTGTGTTTGTATATATGTACCTATGTATACATACACACAAACACACACACATATACACCTACAGAAGTTAGACACAGATGTCGGGATGTTGGATTCTCTGGAATTGGAGTTAGATGGCTGTAAGCCACCATATGGATGCTGGGCACCAAACCTAGGTCCTCTACAAGAACAAGTACTCTTGACCAGTGAGCCATCTCTCCAGCCCAATTTTTATTTCTAATCATGTACACATTAATACAGGTGCCCGACCAATCAATGGGTCCTCCTGCCCTAAAGTTACAGTCAAGTGCTTATATAGGCAGTGTGAGGCACTTTCCATGGGTGCTAGGAACCAGACTTGGATCCTCTGTGAGAATGGTGCACGCTCTGACCACTGAACTCATTTGACATTCTTGTTTTCTGCTAGATCTATTTCAGGTTATTCATTTGTCTTTGAATTTGGGATGTATCTTTCAGGTTTTGAGAACAATATTTTTATATTTTTCATTTTAAGTAGTCTAATATCAGTTAAGTTTCTTCTTCAACATTTTAGATTAGAAGTGCTTTTTCTTTGTCTGTGTTGTGGGGATTGAACCCATGGCTTCGTGCATGCTAACTAACCACTTTTGGAGGAGCCCTGCTTACAGAATGGTTTGGGCTTTTTGTTTTTTTTTTTTTTTTCTCTCAATTTCATATTTTTGTTTTCTGATGAGAATTTGAATTCTTACCAAAGTCTATGGCTTCACCATCACATTCCTGACAGTAACACTGAGTTATGCCATTTCCAAGGTCCCAACTTAGTCTCTGATGAACGCTGGCCAACTGTCTCCACTTCCCAGGGCTCCAGGATAATCAAGACAAGAGATTCTACCCAATTCCTTCCAGCAAATAAGAGGAAAGACAAGGACCTAAAAACTGAAATAGCTAACTTTCCAGTCTGGTGGGAAGGACACGAGATCCATGAGTGCTGTGGGGCCTGACAGGAGGGGCCTGCTGGGAAGGGACGAGGCTGTGAGAAGGGCTTTATGGAGCTTAATGCACAAACCCATTAAACTCATACAGAGTTCATTTCACAAGCCTTTCTTAAGCACCTGTCTGCTCGCTCTGAGGACAGAGTTCCGTACTGACGTCTGTTGACTTCATGTGAAGGGTTGTGTCTGCTGTGCTGCAGAGCACATTTGCTTCCGCTGCCTTTGCCTTGACGACCTAACTCTTCCTCTCAGGCGCTCAGGCACTACACAGAAGACGGAGACTCCTGTGGCTTAAGGAGATCAAGAACCTGCAGAAGAGCACAGACCTCTTGTTAAGGAAGAAGCCTTTCAGCCGTGTTGTGAGTTCTGGGGACCTTTACTCCATCCTGGAGTAATGCTTTCATCTTCTTTAATTCTCCCAAATATGGGGGATGCTTCTGCTTCTCACTGACTTGGCTGAGGGTTGTCTCTAACCCCATGGCACTGCACAGCCGCTGCTTTTATGATACTGATTTCTTCTCATTACCTCACTATAATAGAACCTCTCATCCGATTTGTCTCCCTACCCTGAGAATGCCTTTTTTTCCTCACCACCCATAAGCTATACCAGTTCCTACACTCCTGGGAGTCAGCACCTACTCCAAGCCAGGCCCTGAGATCAAGGGCGAAGACGTAGTGGTAGAAGTGGATGCGTTAGGTACTTGGAGAACGTCCATCCACTCTTCAGTCACTGTTCTGTGGCTCTGTACTCATCCGCATCCACTCCTCCACAGGTGAGAGAGATATGTGGGAAATTCAGCCGTGGTGTGGATTTATATTGGCAAGCCCACGCCTTGTTGGCCCTTCAAGAGGTAAGAAGGGGCAGGGATGGGTGAAGGCAGAGAGGAAGAAGTACATCCCAGAATTCCACAGGACTGCTTATGGCCTACCACAGGTTGTTTCTAGCCTCGCGAAAAGAGCAGCCAACACGTAGCACGCAATGGTGTGGAACGGGTCTGATGGGTAGCCCTGAATGCACCTTGTTCTTTTCTTCAGTCCTTTGAGTCAGTCTGTCTCCAAGAACAGGCAGTCTGAGCCCTCACCCGCATCGGTGTTCTCACTCTGCCAGGCAGCGGAAGCGTTTCTCGTTCACCTCTTTGAGGATGCCTACCTCCTCTCCTTACATGCCGGCCGAGTCACACTCTTCCCCAAAGACATACAGCTGACCAGGAGGATCCGAGGCATCGAGGGAGGACTCGGCTGAGCCGGCAGTGCGATATGTCTGTAAGTCTTTCCTGCTCCTCAGAGTGCTGCTCATTGCTGAGAGAAAAGCTTGCTCTGAAGAGGGAGTGGCATCCTCGCCCGTCCTTAGTCCCTGCCCTCTCACCCATGTTCCCTAAGGAAGGTCTTTCTCGATGCTTCGAAGGCGTGTGCCATGGCCCTTCGTGCAGTGTTAAGAGCTAAGTGTAGTGCGTCATGCTGTAACCCGGCACTTGGACAGCCAAGCAGGACAACAGGGAGCTCAAGGCCAGCATAGACCCGAGCATCTCGCTCAGGTGCCAGGTGGATGCCAGCCAGCACTCTAGAGTGAACCTATGAGTTGTGCTCCATACTTCTGATAGTACATCTTGCTATTTTACAAGGACCAGATCCTTCCCTCCCTCAGACCCACCCCCTCGGCCGCCTTAACAAGGGTCTTACTATGTCATTCTGGCTGTCTTGGAACCATACAGAGCAAGCTGGCCCCAAACTCACAGAGATCACCTGTTTCTGCCCCCCCACCACCACCACCCAGTGCTGGGATTAATGGTGTGCACCACTATGCCCAGCTTCGGATCCTCTAATTTTAAATAGAAGGGGGTTTTTGTTGTTTGTTTGTTGATTTGTTTGTTTTTAAATGCTTTATTAGTAAATGTGATTGCTAAATTTCAGAGACAATCCTGGAACCTTTGGAGCTGCAGTTAGACAGTGGTGTCTGAGGAGCTGCCTAGATTTTGCTGTTTTTGAACAGTGGCTACACGTTGCCCTTTAAACTGTCTTTCTAACAGAGAAGATTATGGCTTTCCTCTGTGACAGAGGAGGAAGAGACCATCTCTGCCTGCTGTCATGGACATGAGTGTTTGCAGACCAAAGGTCAGCTTGGTTTATGAATTGCTCAACCTTATGACAGAGTTTCAGACACATGAGATCTGCCATGTTCTGAGGGGATATTGTTAGTTTACTCTTACTGTACTGTGTGCATCTTTTACCATGTGTATTTGTACTTTTTTTAAAAATATAAGAGAGAAAAATCTGAATAAAATGCTTGAATCTGTTGTATGGAAAGCCCTGCCAGCCCCATTGTATAAATGTCTGCCTTCCAGACTGACCTCGTCCTGCCTGTCAGCAAACACGCAGCTTTTCAAAACTTAAGTACGACTACATACAAAATCTTTTCTTCCTTCCCTTCAAGGCTGGGGCTTGACTCCAAAGCTTTGTACATGCCAAGCATGGACTATAATGTTGAGCTGCATCCACAGCCTGAAACAGATAGTCTTTCTGGTTCCTACCAGTAAATTCTATCAAAAAGGTTCAAAAAATCTCTCTCGGAATTGGACATTTTATTCTTAGCTGTAAATCATATAAAATGTATCATATCAGTCTGGGATTTTAAAATGTGTTTTCAGCATTTTTATAGATTAGCTTTAGCTTACTTGGGGGAAATAATAAAAAAATAGTTCCTTAATGGAAAAATTGAAATAAAGTTGCCGTTGTAGATGTTATAAGCTTTTGTATTAAATATTAAGCTCATCATTTTACACCATTTGAAGCAGTCACAACATAAATGAGCCGTGTAGATTTGCCACAGATGAGACATACAAAAAAGCTGTCCTCTTACTGTCCATATAAGCAGTGTAAGAGGCTTCCAGGAACGTGGGACGTGGTGAGGTGAGGACAGCCGTGAGCAGAGACTCCTGATGAAGTCATGGCAACTGACTAAACTCAGACCAAAGCCGAGTTCCAGGTCTCACCGTTCAATAAACTTTACCCTTTGCAAACACTTACCGATGGATCAGATATATGCAGTCATTCAATTAAAGCGCATCTGGGGTAATTTTAGAATTCTTTTCAAGTGCCGAGCAGGATCGGCATTCTGAGGACTGCAGTGTTTACATGAGAGTAACTGTTTACGTCCTGGTAACTAATAGTGTGTAATGTTATAGTTTATCCTGTTTTAACAGTTTAGGTGAGGTTCATTACTTGGACGTGGAAGTCAGACAAACTGGTGTTCCCAGGATCCACCTGTCTCCACCTTCCCAGTATGGGATACAACCATATGCTGTCATAGCTGGCTCTTTATGTGGGTCCTGGGATTAAACTCAGGTCCTGTGACTGCAAGGCAGGCTCTTTACCAACCAAGCCATCCCCTAGCCCAGTGTTGTTGAGTTTTTGTGTGTTCTGAGATATCCCTCGTTGCACATGTATTGAGGGCATTGCGGACGCTTGGCCTTGGGTGACACAGCTGGGGATGGATCAGTAGTGGGCTTTGCAAGCTGCAGTCTGGCCTTGCTTCCCGGTTGATATCCATACTGCAGTCATTGGCTGCTTCTGTCCCTCTGTCTTCCCTACCATGGCACGTGTTATCCCCTGAACCAAGAGCCCAAATAAGCACCCGCTCCCTTAAGCTGCTTCTGTCAGGTGTGTGGTCATAGAGTAAAGTTAGCTAATATAAACCCCACTTCTCACTCTTTAGCTTGTTTGAGACGGGGTCCTGCTATGTAACCAGTTTGTTCTTGAACTTGTGACATTTCTGCCTTGACCTCCCAGGAGTGCAGCACCCACGGCCTGGCTTCTGACTTCCTCTACAGGAATCTCATCCTTTCCTACCCTTCCCATTGACTGTGTTTCTGTTTTCACATTTTTAATATCCAAGGCATTTTTCTTATTTTTTGACTTTCTTTTTTTATATATATAAAAAGCCAGTCCGCACTTAACTCAGTAAAACAGACCACTGTAGCTGTTGAAATCAAAGACGTATTGGTGGAGAAGACAAAGGGAAGAGCAGGGAGCCACTGGTGCCACAGACCCACCCTTGCCGTGCCTCTATAGGAATCATGGCCCCCACCACCATAGCACTGACTACCTCCTGACCCTGAGCAGAGCACCACGCCTCTCAGCGGCTGCCCCCCAAAAGCACTGCTCAGGTAGGAAAGAGAGATCTGCTCTGCTCCTCTGACTTTCCAGATCCTACCAAGCATCTGTCGGCAGAGCCTAACCAGAAGCAGCCACAAGGGAGTCTGAGAATGTACCTGGCCAGCTTCTAGCCTCCTTTGTTAGAGGAGCCAGGATAGGGACCAAGCTAAATGACACTTTAAGTCTGTTGTAATTTCCTGGTTTTGTTTTGCTGTAGAGTAACTGTTTGCTCCAAGTTATTCCCCCACCCCCCTTCTAGTTGTTCCAGTCTCTTTAGTAGTTAACATTATTTGGTTGAGGATAGAGACAAGAAAGCTAATTGAGAGTTCTGAGCATGTGGCTGGGACTTGCCAAGTTTGAGCTTTCCTGGGGAATGCTCAGATGAACATTTTAGAGAACCCTCATGTCCCCTCCGGATAAAGACATGCCCAGAGGAGGCCTAAGGCCTAGGTGATTTTAAGAACTGATGCCCATATACAAAACCTATGCACAAACCTCCAACATGTCTGTCCCTGGCTTTGGCCTCCTTGCATCCAGAGGCCCTCTACTAAATTGTCTAAGAGGACACTGGTGAAAGACAGCTGTGTCATGAGCAGTAAGAGAGGAACTTCTAGGGGTTTGGTTGTTTGCTAATGACCTTACAGCCAGCCCCACCCAACTCCCAGGGCTCTGGTTGCAGAAGGGTTTGATGACATCAGTCTGGGGCTAGGCAAGGCTGTTGTGGTTGTGTCGGGTGTGCTGGTTCAGCTCTGCCCTGGATGTCTCCGGAGCTGCTGAAATCAGTGTCTGCTTGTCCCTCTGCTTTTTAACTTTCAAAAGCGTTGCCGCCTTTGCCTCCGTGGTTCTCCATTTGTGAGTTTGTGATGATTTTCTTAACTCCGTACAGAATCTTGTTTTGGCAATTTTCTTTCTTGACGTGAGAAGGCTGACTCCGTGGTTTTCTGGGCTCTGTAATGTTTTTCCCCCATTGAGCTATCACCACAACCATTACTCTTTGAAGCTAATACTATTTCCTTGATTTATCTTTTCTTCAAAGATGTTTCCTTGTTTCTGGTGTTCTGCAATGTCATTATGTTGTGTCTAAATGCAGATTTCTTTTTCTTAGTTGGCTTGGCATTCACTGGGCTTCTTGAATACGGACTGATGGCTTTTCATCAGTTCTCACCTATTATCTCTTCAAACAGTGCTTCTCCCCAGTCTCTCTCCTCTCCCACCAAAGCTCCAGTCACCTGCTCTCCAGGCTTTTCCCTGTGTTCTCTATCACCGCTTTCAGATGACTTCTGCCCCACCCCCTAATGCACTGAGGTTTGGTTTTTTTCTTTTCAGCTATTCCTAATTTACTTTTAAACTTTTTGACTTTCTTTTCTTTTCCTTCCTTCCTCCCTTCCTCCCTTTCTTTCTTTCTTTTTCATGTTTTTTTCTGTTTTGAGATGGAGTCTCATTATATGGCCTGGAACTCAGAAGGATCTTCCTGTCTCTGCCCACAGTGCTGGGATTAATATGTGTATCTTCTGGTCTTTGTCCATTTTTTTGTTGTTGTTGTTGTTTTTTGGTTTTTGGTTTTTCGAGACAGGGTTTCTCTGTGTAGCCCTGGCTGTCCTGGAACTCACTCTGTAGACCAGGCTGGCCTTGAACTCAGAAATCCACCTACCTCTGCCTCCCAAGTGCTGGGATTAAAGGCGTGTGCAACCACTGCCCGGTATCCATTTTCTTAATTTTAATTGTTATAAGGTATAATAGCTATTCCTGGTTGTCAACTTGACTACATCTGCAATGAACTACAATCCAGAATGGGAGGGCTCACCTGTGATCCAGATTTTGAGGCTGGGAGACACAAGTTTCTGACCTGAATCATGGCATGGAGATCTTGAGACATAGAGGCCATGAAAAGCTTAAGGCCAGGCAAGGTAGTGCATGCCTTTAATTCCAGGAGACTGAGGCAAGGAGATCTCTGAGTCAAAGTCAGCCTGAGACAAATCAAGTCCCAGATCCAGGCGTGGTGGTACACACCTTTAATCTGGGTCACACCTTCTGCTGAAGACCTGCATAAGGACTTTGGAAGGAAGAAGATTCTCTCTTCTTCGCTGCTTCAGTTTATGGCCAGCACATCTGTTGGAACCTACTTTTACAGAACATCAGCTGAAACAACTAGCCTTGTGGGACTGAGCAAGTACTAGATCCTTGGACTTCCCATTCACAGCTGCCCATTGTTGGGGAGTTGGACTACAGACTGTAAGTCATCACAATAAATTCCCTCAGTATAGAGAGACATTACATAAGTTTTGTGACTCTGGAGAACCCTAAGAAGTGAGGTTTGTTTTGTTTTGTTTTTAATTTATTAGTTCTGTAAATATTATTTCATTCTTGCTTGTTACTGTATTGTTTTGTTTTTCAGATAGGGTCTCACATAGCCCAGTCTAGACTCAAGCCTGCTGTGTGGCCAAATGTACCTTGAACTTACCCTCCTGCCTGTTTCCCAGTGCTGGGCTTGTATGTGCTCACTGCCAAGCCTGACACCACGATGCCCAATTTTCTTCTCATCTTTATGTTACTTTTTATAGTTTCTTACCCTGTCTACCGCACATAGCTGTTGCCATCTTGTTCCATGCTTGCCAGTCATTGAAATAGAAAATAACTCTACTCAGAGCAAGGCCATGCTGAGCACAATCCTGTTATGTTCTCTGTGAGGTTTGTTAAACTTAAGAAATTCCACAAAGTGGACTGGTAAGATGGCTCAGCATTTAAGAGCACTGACTGCTCTTCAGGAGGTCATGAGTTCAAATCCCAGCAACCACATGGTGGCTCACAGCCATCCATAGTGAGATCTGATGTTCTCATATGGGTGTCTGAAGACAGCTACTGTGTACTTTGGGCTGGATCAAATGGGGCCCAGAACGAGCAGGCGCCAGAGTGAGCAGGGCTGGAGCAAAAGGGAGAAGAGAAGGGGGGAAAAAAAGAAGAAATACCACAAAACTTTACAAACGACCCATCAAATCAAAGATCAATATGGACTGTTATATCTAAAATGTCTTGAGTCAAGCCGATCACTGGGCAGCACTGCCTGTACCTGTGTATGAGCTCAGTGTGGTTTTGTGGGGTTTTCTTTTATAAGCCAGCCCTGAGAAATGTTCAGAGTTGTGGCTC